GGGAAAGAGAGAGCAAGGGAGAGAGAGAGAACCCGGCGAGAGAGGGAGAGAGAGTGGGTGGCCGGCGGCTGAGAGAAAAGAGAGAGGGAGGCCGGCGTAGAGCAAAACAGAAAGAGAAGAGAAAAAGAAAAGAGAAAGAGAGTCAGCAGCATAGGAGTCCACAAGTCCACAGGAATGAAAGAAAAGAATAGAGAGAAAAGGAAAAAGAAAGAAAGAAAAATAAAAAAGGAAAAAGGAAAAAAAATATTAAGGAATATTTAGAGAAAAAAAGGGAAAATAAGTGTATTTTTAAAACTTCTAGAGTGAAATTTTAAAATTGAAAGTAATTAAAATTTCGTGGAACAACTTACAAATTTAGTGTTAAGAAAATCTTAATAACACGGTTAATTGAGAAAATTAATATTAAGCACGTTAATAAATCACAATTAACATAATTAAACAAGCTTAATTCTTTCGGTTGTTACAATATGTTATTTACTTATATCATTTAAAAGAAACAAGTTATTTACCTCAAAACCATTTCAAAATTCATTATTCAACTCTTTATCCTTGTTATAATATCGGTGTGAAGGCCCCATTATACGTTCGAATTTCAATTTAATTTTTTATTATAGTATTTTTTTCTCACAAAAATTTAAATTTCAGTTTATGTTTTCTTCTCGGAGCACAAGCGCGTTCCAAATTCGAAAAATAATTTTTGGCACAATTGCCCCCAAACTTGTCGTGGTTTAGTAAATTATCCTCTAAACTTTTAATTTTAGCAAGTTACCCCTGACTTATAAATTTATTGTAATGTGTCCCATTTAACTAAATTTGCTAAAATATTTTATTAAATTTGAGAGATTAAAAGTTAAGATATTGAACGATTTGTATTACATTTGAATTGGAATGTTGAAATTTTTTACTGAATGTGCTTTTTTGACATTATTTTAACACAATCGTCGTCAAAATCAGACGTATTATAATAATTTTTCAAGTTGAGGGAATAACTTATTAAAATTAAAATTTAAGGGTAATTTGTTAAATTAGGACAAGTTTCAAAAAACCCTTCAAAAAACTATAAAAGCGTGAATATGGATTGGGCCAACCGGATTGTGTTCCGCTGGGCTGGGACTCAACCGGTCAGTATAGCCTCCTAAGCCTGTATGGGCCGGACTGGGCAGCCCATATTTACAGATCATGGTGAAGTATGTTGATACTATTCTACGGCAACGATCAAGCTTCTCAATTTACAGGAGATATTACGTCCGTTTAATCTGTGATACTTGTCTTCCCTTCACGCAACGTCGCAATATTTTCCCTATTTAGAATACGACGTCGTTAGAAAGGGGAATGTTTTGTCAATTTGTCGTACGCGAGGCTGAATTAATGAATTTGTTTTATTTGTTTATCTCGATGAGTCCAAGGTACGTGAAAGCTTTTGGTATGAAATGTTGATACATCCCAGCCACAAAAATATGGAATGTGAATATGGAGAAATAAAAAATATATATGCACAAAGAACATTTTATGATAATTTTAAGTGAAATTTCAGAAAAATGTTTAGTCATTTTATAATACATTTGACTGGACAAGTTTTTTTAAAAGGAAATAATTTAAAAATTTTTTCTATCAAGAAACGGAATTGTATCCCTGATGATCACCTTTTGCATGAAACAGTCGGAGCTATTTTGTTAAATTCTGTAGAAATGCTTCATGCATTATACTTCTGTATCAAATTTCTGTACGCGGTAATGGAATTGAATATGTGATGTAATCATTATATATATATATATAACTCTCTCTCTATATATATATGTCGTCAAATATGTGTTGCATGTGTATATGAAACCTGAGCCCCTGATCTCTAACGAATTAATGTGTTTCGGTTTGCAGGCATCGCGTATTCTTGATCAGCGCTCGTCTTCTTCTTCTTCTTTTTTTTTTTTTTTTTTGTGTCTCGGAATCTGCATCTCACGATTGTGATTTATAAATCATACTAGCTAGAGATTTTCTTTAGACTTAATAGACTGTCAAATATTTATGAGAAGGAGTGCATGAACATCAATAAAACGAGTAATTATCTTTTTATGTCTCCATATTTAACATTCATGCATTAACTAATTTAATTAATAAAATTGTTCATGAGATATTTTATTTCGTATTAAAGTAAATTATTATGACTGTGCAAGTCTCTGTAACAATATTCCAACATCTTTTGCATCGTGATTACACAAAAGTGTCCTTTGTGTCGAGTGTTGGATCAATGTGCTGTTCTCTTTTGACTACACGATGATGTCCTTACTCGCTGTCGTTTGTGGCATGTGCTCTTTCAGTTTAGAATGTAATGTTGTTTATGTGTCATCTTTTCCTTTTCTTTTTTTTTTTTTTTTTGCTTTTCAATGTAAATTTTTTGAATCCGCGATCAGTACTCGTTAGAAAAATATCGTGTCCTTTTAAACAATGTCATCCATATTTGTTATGTTTGTTATAAATATTATCGTTTAGGAACTATTGTCGTTTTAGATCTGTAAGTAATGTCGTTTTTAGGATGTCGATTTCATTTTATTGATTCTAACATTGTCTGTTGGTGTTTTTTCTAAAATGAATTGTCTGAAGATGACATTTAAATGATGCTGCCTACGGTTGTTCCTTGGAACCATGCCGTACTAATACGGTGTCTTTTATAGGATGTGATGCTGACTAAGGTTAAAATAATGTCGTTTCGTAATTATTTTGTGGTTCTAAAATCTGATGTCG